GTAAATATTAATTTATGTAAATAATAGCAATAATTTTTATTGTTTTCATTATATGCACATTATGTATATATTTCACGGGTTCTTCATTATTTTAATACTGCAACACAAACACAAACACAACAACTTAACATAATTTAAATTTGGCACACATAATGAAAATTCATGACATGGAAAGCATAAAGATAAAATACAACACTCAACACATACATTGGTTTGTTTAGTCAACTATTCTCTTCTTCAACCACTCAAATTGATCTAAAAACTTAGTTTTTTTCTTCTTCCACCTCTTTTAGTTTCTCCTTCAATGTCGCAATTTCTTGTTTATACATAACCCCATCACGTTCGTATCTTGTGTTCAAATCATGAATATACTGCAAAGTTTGTTTGTAGCATTCTTGCTTATAGGGTTCATCAATCCATACCTCAAAATTGCAAAAAGGTTCGTCGGGAATCCTATAAAACTCGTTTACACACATCAAGTATCGACGCCCAACTTCACCATCATTCCAACAGTCCGCCATCATACTTTTTTTCCCGCACTGGCACCTTGGTACATAAAGGCGTTCAGATATTTGTTAAAGCAAAAAAAAAACTAGCTTTTATGGAGAGTTTTGTTATTGGTTATTGTTAAGCGCAGAAAATAACTAGAATGCACCCGTTATTTATAGGCAAGACAACACACATAACGTAGTATTTAACCGCGTTATGCTAACACATAACGTAGTATTTAACCACACTATGCTTCGCGTGTTAAAGATTCTTTCGGATACAAAATAGTTTTTCGTAGGCGGGCAGCTTTTTAATTCGACAAGACAACACACATAACGTAGTATTTAACCGCGCTATGTATATTCACATATTTATCAAAAATCTTCCTCCTCTGACAGTGTAGTTTTCTAATAATAACTTTAGAGTGAAATTCAAAGAATGGACCATTATCAATAAGATTTAACAACAATGGAAATATAATTTTATTTGATACATCTTGCAACATAAACAAGTGCATACACTTATTACAACTACATTATGAAACCCAGTTACTACGTGTATCCTTGATAGTTGGGCACATTAGAAGAACTCCCACCAGGAGCTGGATTACCACTGCTACCCAAATCAACCGAAGGATATTTTCGATGGTCATGTCCTGTTTGCGAGCATATACCACATTTGTACGCATAAACGGTATCGCTAACATCCATTTGGTTCCGCATACGTATTATCTTTTGCACCTGTATTCGACGCAAAATCTCTTTGTTACACACCATTTTAAATGGTTCCGGCGGCCAATAATGCTTAGCACCCACTAGCTGCAACTGCCCACTATAGGTGTTTAAGTATGCAGCAACAATATATTGTTTATCAACGTAGTTGGTTGGCGCTAAACCAACATGTTGAAAGCACCTGATGGCATGTGAGCACGGCATGTGGTAGATGGACCATTTTCCATAAGAGCATAAACTTTTAGATTCATTTATGGTATGTACATTATTCCCCTTATTTTGATAGATAGCGGTGCGAACTTCAAAAATATTTATGTCCTGATCATACTATAAAAATGAATGCCAATGTGCTCGCCGCCTGTATTTCTCAAATCTCTTCATCGGCAGTGGCATAAATTCAACACCCCTTTCCATCAATGACATTGCAGCTGCAGACCTTTCAACAAACCTCTCCGCCATCTGCTTGAACGACATGCGCACCATGGCAGTGACATGCAATCCTCTTGCCAACTTCAATAACCTGTTAAAAGACTCTGACACATTTGTAGTTAGAATTCCCCATCTTCTTCCACCATCCGCATGCAAAGTCCACTTGTCAAGCTCATGTCACATCAACCAACGATAGGCTCTCTCATCTTCCTGCTTGATATATTCCATGTGCCTCCGGAATTTATGCTCTTGGTGGTCTGTTGTGCCATTCACATCAAATCATTCAGATCTTTGTTGGGATGTGCCTTCTGGAAATTAGCCTTCAGGTGCCTCACATAGTAACGGTAGTAGGCATAAGATTCTTGCCATGCAGGTAAATTCTCTACAGAACTTAAGATACCACCATGCCGATCAGATATTAGACAAATACCGGAACGTTGTTTGACAACATGCTCTTTCAAATGGCTCAAAAACAGCGTCCACATCTCTTGGCTTTTATTGGCACAAATAGCAAAAGCTACAGGAAATATTTGTCCATTAGCATCTACTGCAACGGCGATCAACGGCTTGATATCATACTTTTCATAGACATGAGTGTTGTCTATGGATATTACCGGCCGGCAATGCGGAAAACCATCAATTGCTGGTTTAAATGCCCATAACACATAATTGAATATATATTCTGGTATTCCCGGACTCCACTCAAGCTTCCATTCAACAACCGTCCCGGGGCTAAAGTGTTGCAGTGCGGCCATGTACCTGGGTAGAGCTGCAAATGACTTATCTTAGTTACCATAAACAATTTCAAAAGCACGTTTGCGCCTGAGAAATGCCTTTCTTTTGGTAATGGTATGGCCATATTCCTGATAGAATGATGCAATGCACTCTTTGATTTTATACCTTATAAAAACTTCAAGGTGTGGAATAAGGACAAGAGAAATCAAGTCAATATCCAAGTTGTAGTGATTCCCATTGAATGTATCCATTTCACATATGTAGGTAGGAATATATTTACCTATTTTCCACAGACTTGTGTTCTTCTTGCTCGCACACAGCACCCAATGATAACCCATAAACCATCTGTGGAAAACAACCTTGTATACATCCGGACTTGACTCTTATACCGTCATCTCACGACACTCTTTTACGCTGTACATTTTCGCCGCCCTGCTTAGGCACGCTTTATCAGGAAAAAGCATGCCCTTTGCCAGTACCGTTGGTCTAGAATCATCCCACATTGCTGTCCGAATTTCATCAAAATACCTTGTGAGAGCATCCACATCCGGCATACTTGGCAAATGATCAAGGTATGGAATCTTTCTTGAATGAAACAGCACTTGGGATTCATACACTCTTGGTCTAATGGGGGTGGAGCATACTCCTTCGTCAAATCAGGTCTTTCATTCTCTTCCTCCTCATCACCATCATCACGAGGGAAGGGTGTGTCATCTCCGGAATCATCGGCATTGTTGTCATAATCATTGTTCTCTTCCTCACTTTGTACATCTGCCAGATCTCGATTTAATATGCCGTCTTCGGGCAATTGAGTCAGGACATGTGGTTCAACTTGCTCGTTTTCACTGCATAAACAACAAAATAATAAGCTACTCAAATTAATAAATACTTTTCATATAGTTGTATCACTTCACTTACAAGTCATAAGGTATTGACATTCCTTGATGGACATTATCCTATTGGTGATGACTCCCGGATGGACCACCATGATCCAACACACCAGAACTACGCATATTCCAACTGGGCGTGGGTTCATAACTTGTAAAAGTCATATCTGGCTGGTACCCCTTGTGGAATATATGAGTGTTAATACAAATTCAATACAATAAAAATATACATCGTAACACTAAGGAAAATTGAAATTTACCACTCATCTTGTGGATTATGTAAAGCAGGAGAGAAATTATTTCCTTGCTCCTCATTCGCCCGTGGTGATAAGTTTAAATCAGGCCAAACTCTTTCAGCTGGAACCTGTCCGACAAAAACTGCTCTAGAATAACCACCCGACGACTGAGGGTTATCGCTACTATGCTCAACCTTATTATTACGAACGTCTTCGACCTTGACGTACATTTCCAACATTTTTATCACAAAAAATTTCCGATATTCATCCGGAATCCTCAAAAAATCCTTCAAAGTTTCATCATCGTCGATGTTAAACTCAGCGTAACAAGCAATCCCTTGCGGAGTGACGGAATACGGATATTTTCCGGTTACTTTAAGGTTCACCAAACGTTTTCTCACACTCATTTTTTTATATAACAATGATACAAATGTATCGTACTCCATTGTAAGTGGCAACTTAACATGAAACTGTGAAAATAAACTACAGCTCACAGTGTTATTCGCCACCACAACCTCCC